CGCATTATATCAGATACCCGATTCACGGCCGAAAATAGAGAATCAGATTAACGATACACGATATTTTATTTCACACAGTTACAAACATTCACTCTCATCGAGTCTGGAGTAGAAATCAGTAGGAGGTAAGAAAATCACATATTTGCTAGTCAGTAAGCTGTGTATCTGTTTGTCCCATTAAGTGATCAATCATGTTTACTTTGACTACCACACATCATTTACCAGCAATAAAACATTCTCCTAGCCATTTGTGACATCTTTCGCTGATTAGATCTGTTTGGATTTATACGTCAACTACATCATACTATTGTGTATCATGTATTGATCAAAATTCTGTTTATTTTTAAGACACAACCATATTCACCACTAATCCGACAGCCCTTCAGAAAAGCTACATTCATCAGCTACTGTCGAATATACAAACCAATTGGACAAAAAATAGGAGTATTTCTAACCTAGTTCACAAATAACTGATTTATCATCTTATCAGCATACGTTTCTCATAAATGATTTACTTAAAATCGAAATTTTATTCTGCACAAACTGATCACTTTGAAGTATGGCGTAAAACTATCGAAACAACAATCATGGATTTAAAAATGATTTTAAATAAGAAAGAAAGATTAGTTCAGCGAAGAGTTCTCTTTCCGGCGAATTCATTTTCAAAGCTGTACAATCGCATTTATTTTTACAGGGTGATAATAATACTGATAATAAACTTCTGTTATACATGGTGAGAGTGAGGTTAAATAAACAAAGGTATTAGAAAAATTTTTTTAAACAGGGAAAGTTTATTAATCGTTTGATAGTTAATGGCTTAAGTATTCATCGGGAAAGGATGGCTCAGCATGATAAAATAAAATGTTGAAACAGGGATGAAATGTAATCGGAATGATCGTTGAAAAAAAACTGTCATCAGGCCACCTTTGAGCAGTGTAAGATTTTGAGGTGGTTGCGCCAAGTTTCTTTCGTATATAGTGAATAGTTGCATTTGTAATAGTTGAATTCTCAATGTAGTTTGAACTGATGCTTAAGCAATCTGTGTTTACTAGCCCGGGATTGCACCTTGTGGAGAGAATTAAAAGCGGATTTTCACTGAAAATGTAATTTGTTTCTCGAACAGAATGTTCATGATGTAAGATTTTGACGGGTAAAGTTTGAACACATTTTCTACCGCTTGTTCATCTATAATTATGAGATTTTACTACCGTTAGGTATCTCACATTTTCTATTTGGAAGAAGCCCAACTGGTGGTCGTAGTAGGTTTTTATCCATATAGCGGTGTAGCACGTATTCTTAGCGTTTACTTGCAGGCAGGAGCAATCTGAAACACAACACAACAGTCAGGACTGGCAGATGTCACTCAAGTGAGCACACGGCGTGCGAGCACAACAGAGATATATTAGAAATTCAAATTCGCGGTTTTTGTACAAAAAGAGAAGTCTATTACAAAATAGTTTTACTCATCATCCAGCAGGGTAAGCTTGCGCAAGCTTTGTTCTCCTTCTTCTAATACGTTCACTTTCTGTTGTCCTGCAATAAGGAAAACAAACCTGCATTAGTAAAGTTACACGTAATGATTTTCGATACTGTTACACTATCCCCTCTCTTCATGAGGCACTGTCCTCAGTGCCTGGTGCTGGACATGGGTAGGCTACCCCTCCTTCTGGTGGCACTTCATAATGGCTGACGGCAGTCGGGGGGTTGACAAACGGGGTATCTAAGTGCACAGTTGTCTTGTCTGTCTTTAAATGATTGTAGTGTACTGTTATAACATCGTCTTGGGGTCGTTGGAGGTTACGTAAGACGAATGTAGTGGGAGACCGCATAAACACAACTTCGTAAGGTCCTTGCCAAGAGTGATGGAACTTGCTGCATGTCCCCGGTGAGGCCAAAGGGCGGTGCAGCCACACACGATCTCCGGGTTTATACACAGGTCCGTTCGTCTTGCGATCGTACACGTCCTTTTGGTGCTTGCTGGCATTTTGTAGGTTGATCTTCACTAAGCGATAGGCGTCGGCTAGGCGGCTGCAAAGATTACGGATGTATACTACATGATCTTGGACCTCGCATGGTAACAGCGGTATTTGCAGCTCAACGGGTAGGCGCAATTCATGCCCAAAAAGTAGGGTCGCCGGTGAAAATCCTGTAGATCCGTGCACTGATGAGCGGTAAGCTAACAGACATTGTGGTATCACGTCATCCCAACATTCCGTCGACGACTTATTGATAAACGATTGAAGGAGAGCTTTGATAGTCCTGTTGGTTCTTTCCACTAAGCCGTTACCTTCTGGATGATATGCGGTAGTGTGTGTATTCCGGATTCCCAATAATCGACATACCTGGGCGACGAGATGACTTTCAAAAGCTGAACCTTCGCCAGAATGGATTGAGAGGGGAGCGCCGTACCGTGATACACAATGATCAGTGAAAGCCCGAGTTGACAATCTCCAACCACCATCTAAATCTCAATACATAGTGCCCGCAGTGTCGAGTCACCTACACTGTTGGCCACATTGCAACATGATCGATAGCATTCGATCTGCACTAATAAGGACTAGACAAGCATGACATTGATCACCACCCAGTGATCAATCAATTGTGATTCCATCTCAGTCCTACAGGAGGTTAGTCACGACTCGGATAGCTCAGTGGTAACGTGTCTGACTGTGAAGCTGGGTGACACGAGATCGAATCCGCCAGGGAGCATCAGTTCCCTGAAGATTACAGGTACACCTTGCTGACGAGTGTCAAGTAGCACGAAACCCGAGTCCAGGCTTTCCTGTTGACTACCTCCAACCACCATCTAAATCTCAATACATAGTGCCCGCAGTGTCGAGTCACCTACACTGTTGGCCACATTGCAACATGATCGATAGCATTCGATCTGCACTAATAAGGACTAGACAAGCATGACATTGATCACCACCCAGTGATCAATCAATTTTGATCCTTTTTTCTGCAACGACATTCCTAATAAATTTGAGCAATCTTTTTCTGAATAATCAAATCTTGGTGTCATATCATATATTGTTTGTCCTCATAATGCAATTGTTTTTTTTGAATCTTTTTCAATGGGAATCGCGAGTATTACGTGAGCTCGATTTTGATTACAATTCAGATGATTTCATATCAAATGCTGTTCATCCTTATCACAAAGTCTTTATTTAATAAACTTGGACAGACACAGGATGTACTTAAGGAGAAGACGTACAATCAATTACAAGCACTAAGACTCCAATTTAAGCTGTGGCGGATGTGGTGTTTGAATGAACTGATGATTACTTTGTACTTGTAGAATGTTTGACTTCGAATTGTAAATACAATACATTCCTTTTTGCTCATCTAGTACTTCTTGATCCGATTACGTTATTGCTGGGATTCTTAGTTCATATTGTAATTCAAATACTTCCGAATATCATACAGTCGTCTTGCGATCTAACTGAAGTCAGATGTAGGGCCACTAAAATCCTTATATGAGACTTCTCAAAGATCCGCGTTTACGTTTCCGTCTGGAATCGAACCGAAAAGATTCAGGTCTTGCAACGAGCAACACTGAGTTGCTCTCTATTGGTATCTCTGAAATCGAAATTTGATCAGTTACCGACATTTGTGACTGGATACAAGTGGTAGCTGTGGTTAAGTGGCGCATAGATGACGAGTTTAAACCCCACTTGTCATAGGTTTTCACTTGAACTCAAGGAATTATCTCCCGAAATCGGTTACAAGTCACTATTATAATTGTAAATTTCAGTCTATTAGTGACGTTGCGCCAGGACAACTGAATGTTATTGCCTCACTTTCAAAACAGTTGACATTAACAACAAAAACTTACCAAAAAAGTTTTTAATATATGTTGATAGTTTGCGGTAACATATTCTACATGTCAAACAACAAACTGTCATCCATCACTCAATGCTTAAAGTAAAAGGACGATTATGCTGTTCATACCTCTCACTCGTATTCTATATACGTTAATGTCTTTTGAAAAGAAACACGAATGCCTGCATACACACTTACGCATATACTTCAAAATAATATACAGTTGACCACTTTCTGTTTACTGGTAGAATATAATATAGATAGACAATAAAAATCAAGTTTGACTTTCTTAATTTTCATTAATATCTGTGAGTCAAATACACCAAAAGAAAATCTGCTCTCTTGTTATTACATTATCAACCTTGAAGTGAGTGTTTTGATAAAACGGACCTCGTGAAGTTTAGTGAAAAAAAGTGCAGAGTCACATAGTTTCAAATATTTTTATTGTCGTTTATTGTGTTAAGTTGGTTAGGCAAAAGATGGATTTAACTCGTTGAAAATGTCATCGGAATACACTGTACAAAGGTATTACATGAAGAACAATCATAACTCATCCACAGGTATATACATATGTGTATGGGTAGTGTGGTGTGGATTGAACCATACATCTGTTAGATCTATCGAAGCGTCTAGTTCACCTGACTGAGATACGCGCGAAATGGAAGTTCCAAAACAACGATTTGTCTACAATAGCGGTTCTTTATTGAATAATACGCAAAATTTAGTTACAAACCTCAACTTGTGAGGTGTCTGGAGCGTTTAAACGCGTCCTTCAAGTATGAAAATAAGAGGGCTCCCTGTAACAGTAACATAAAGAATAATTATAACATAAAGTAGTAGAAAAGACAGCTGATAGCTGTGTCTAAATTTGATAACAGTATATGAACAACCGAAACCCGAACCAAGAGCAAACAATATGGAAACTGTTGTGTTCAAACAAATGCAAAAAACTGTGGATAACCGCTACAGTGATTAAGGTACAGTAATGATAATGATAAATACAATGATAAGTACAATAAACTTTATAGGTATATGTGAACATTTCAGAATATTACACTAAAACTTGCATCACAACATAAGTTTAAAAATTGTTGGGAATGTAAATAAGTAGTATAAAACAATATACAAAGGCGTGGGAAGGGAGCGAGTAGGAACAATGTAAGACAAACTTAACAACATCATTTCACTAAAAATAATAAACTGTTTACAGCGAAGCACAAGAATGTGACCAAGAGCTTACTGATTTTTTTGCCTTGCTGACCTAAAATGAAAAGCGAAGGATACAAAAATAAACAGCGCATTTTTTTATCAGAATGAGGGTTTGTGGAGACTGTAGTAATATTAATAGCTGCATTCATGAGTCGATCTAAGCTAGACCACCATTGAAAACCTGAATGTATATGGTTGTGGAGATTAATAAGTTATTTATCGGGATCTTGAACCGATTGAAAACCTGGGAGCACTGAACGGCCGTTCCGTCCAATTGTGGTCTAGTGGGTTAAGCGTTCGCGCGCGAGATCGAAGGCACCGGACTCGAATCCCGAGAGCGGGATCGTGAGTGCGCACTACTGAGGAGTCCCACAATGGGACAAGACGGCCTTCCAGTGCTCCCAGGTTTCCAATTGTGGTCTAACATCATTCAGTTCAAGATCTCAGTCAAAACCTGAATGCACTGGACAACAGTTTTGTACTAGTATGGGACTCCTCAGCCGTGCGCATCCACGACCCAACATGTGGGACTCGAACCCAGGGCCTTCGGTCTTGCGCGCGAACGCTTAACCTCTGAACCACTGAGCCGGCATCCAAACGTGTTAATGTTTAACTTAAATCGATCCATGATCTTCGACAGCCATTCATCCACTATCTGAGGTAAATACCTGTCTCTACGCGACACGGATTGAACTCTTGTGATCACAGCTTCTCAATAGAACTCCAGGAGATCCATCTTGAATCCAGTTATTAGTGAGCACATAATAATTATTATCATAATGGGGATTTAAGGAGATTGTAGTAGCTTAGATCAAGTCATGAATTCAACTATTAAAATTACTACAATCAACTATCAAAATGCACTTTTCTATTCGTAGAAAGTGAATTTCAAATGACTGTACTCAATTATAACTAAGAACATTATATTGATTTATCTGTTAATGTTTTGGCATTTCACTTCAGTCAACGATAATATCTTTTATTATGGCACTGATGGCATGCATGTTTCGATAATAATCATCGTACGGTCTAACTGAACTCAGATATGAGGTCAATAAAGTGTTGATCCCCACTACGAACCTAACGGAACAAACTACTTCGGTGAATAAACTTCCGCACATCACACTTTCGAAGAACGAACTCAACTTAGTTTATTCGATCGATAACCTCACCAATAATATCATACCACTACAGGATCAATGATACATTATTCAAGTTGAGCATATCTGAGATTAAATAAAATACCAAATAATAATATAAACGACAACTTGCCGAAATCGTGGAATTCATAAACACCGAAAAATCCTGTCCTCACATACATTCCATTAGAGAAGAATTTCAAGTTTAAACACGGTTGATGCCATTGAATTCTGAATGGATCCACTGGACTTTGTTTGTGACATAATCGACGTTTTGGTGTACTGAATAATTCTGTTGGATAACAACTACTAATTTCAACATTATCACCCATAGTATCATCTGTACAACTTCGTCAATGAGAAAAAATGTGTAGAAAAAATTGAAATGTGGACACTTGTTTAATACTACTTGATGCCTCGTTCATTATTTGTCAGTATTAGGTGGTTGGAACTAGTCGACAGACAAAACTCCAATCTTGAGGTTACAGACCCTCCTTGTGGGGTTCAAACCAGCGTCATCAAGATGGGAATCTAAGAAACTCCCACTGAGCTAATTAGTATTCAGATGACCTTCTGTTGAAATGAGATACATTCACTGACTAGTCATTTCTACTCACTGTCATTATAACTGATTCTAAGCAGCTTGTTTGTATCAAATTACGGTAAATCCAAACAAATGTTAATATTTGAAGGTGTGAAGTTTCTGGTGAACAGCTGAAGAATAGCTTGCTTATCATTACTTTTTTGACAGGATGGCTACTTATTCATGAATTAAAAAGCTAACATTATTCAACATCCTGGTTAGGACAACATATATAAGTGAACAATAGTGTTTTCGATTAGATCCTCATCAGGCTTTACTCGAATATATATGAATATCTAGATGCAGATCTGAAATTATTAAACTGATCAAGGCAGTTTATGAGGCAACGATAACAGTGGAATAGATTACATAAATAAGCATAATAAGTAAAAAGTAAAAAAATTGATAGTGTGATGTCAGGTGTACTAGTTGTGGTGAAAATAATAAAGGCTTGAATCAATGTTTCATAACAGGAAGTAGGTCGATGACTTAAAAAATAAACACTGAAATAATATTCATTAAAAATCATAAGATTATGCATTAAGGGATGTTCAGATAATTGGACAGTGAAGTGTATATTTGAGAAAAGGGGTTGGAGAAAAATCAACGAACAAAGAGTGTGGAAAATAATAATAAACGAATAAAGTCATTTATTAGATCTGATTCGGCCAAAGAAGAGACGAAGGTATTGAAATTTTATTATGAATACAAGAACTTGGATTGTTAGCTCGAATTCCTATAGCTTCTGCAATATGTAAGAAACGGGATCGAACATTTTAAGGAAAACTGGTGGGGATAGAATATAACTCTTTAAATGACATATTTTTGTCTACTACATAAACGCTATAGATCAAGTGTGATAGAACAGAGCTGTGTAGTGTTTTGACGGTGCACTCTCCTAACCACGAAGGAAGGTGTTTACCTACTCGTTCGCTCAGCTTTCTCGTATTGCACCAAATACAGCTTTCTCCATAGGAGCAGCTGAATTCGTAGATACACATAGATGTGGCAGAATCAGTAACTTATCCTTTGGTTGAGGAATCACGATAGATGGGGGTCAAATACGATAGGCAGCGGTTAGCTTCATTAAACGTTCTCTTAACTGCTCTAGTATAATAATATACTTGTAATATCTCAATGACTAGGAAATACAATTTCTGACATTTCGTAAATTAAGGGTCAAGGTGCTTCTTATGACACATGCATGTGCATTTGTTAGTGGGCATGGAAAATGTGATATTTTTCAAATGGAAAGGTAGCTGAATTTGTATGATAACGGTGCGAGATGTGAATAGACTTAGATATATTAGCCGTGATAAACGGTCCAAGTTGGATGGATGGTAAGGCATTCATTTCTATTGAGGGCATTAAAATTTAGTAATATATGTAAAGTTCCAGTAACCCGCCTTTTTATTGCTGGGAAAGGGTTTTTTAATCATTTTGATGTTTCTTATACCAATTTGACGGTAATAGATGGTGTCTTTCCGTATTGAACAGCCAACTCGTTAAACTTAGACTACAGAAAAATAACATCTAAGCTGTACAAAAAACCATCTATTGATCCTGTGGTAGTTTACGTGGATTACTGAGAAGTCCCATACTAAGACGAGACGGACGTCCAAACTTTCAGGTTTCTAGTAGGGGTCTCGCTAAGATCAGTTCATGATTTAAGCTACGAGAATTATCAAGTCTCCCCAAGTCAGTCTATTCCAATAATAACCATGTACTCGCTACCTTCGAGATGCAACCCTTGGATTTCTAGTAAGAAATCACGACCAGTGGAGTTCAACCATGTCAGGTGTGAGACAGTTATCTAGATCAGGCGATGGCTGAAGTTTGTTAAATGCTGTTAATGTAATATATTGGATTATTTATTTTTTGAAGTAGAGACTTGCACTGAGTCATGAGACGTCAGAGATTTTATAATCTACTCATTCAGATATTATAAAGACATCTTCATTTTTTATTATTAGATAGTTTGTTTGCTTTGAATTTCTTTTACCTACGATTTTCAGGTCACTTTTCTGAGCGAACTATCAGTTAGGCTAAATTTAGTTCTACCAGTGATAATGATATAAACCGGAACTTTATTAATTTTGTCGTTGATAATAAGATGTGGAATAATAACCATAATTCAGGTCGATTTGACGTAATTCGGCCAGCTTTGTAAAGTAGATAATGCAATGTTAATTCTTCACTGAGGATAACTTGTTATGAAGTAGTCTATGCTCAAAAGTTCAAATCTGGCTGGTTTAAAGCATTTGCTGGCAAGACGTATCTGGATTATTGAAGGAAATTAGTGATTTTTATGTCGTTGGAAACCGCATCAACAAGTATCTGTTACATCTAGAGCTTAGATTCTTAATATACCGCGTACAACTTGAGCACTTTAACGCTAGGACTCTCCAAGGCGCAAATGAGAAGACAGAAGACAAGTGAAAGGAACGCTATTTCAAATAGGGTCAAATATTGTACGAAACTCCCTGGTATTTATAGTTTTTAGTAAAAGTGAAGTCATTTTTATAGTCATCCAATCCGCATACAGTGGTTTTTAGCATTCGTCCAACAGGGAAACTTCACGTCGAAATTCTGGAATGTTCTTCCAAAAGATGATCGAGTGGAATATCTTTGGCTCTTTCTGAGCTTGTTAGTGATTCCTCGAGTTCACCCGTGGGCCGTCCCCACAGTATCGAAGTCAGTAACGTGACCAGTGAGCTGATCGAGACGTAACTGATCTCTTCTGGAGTTGAGACAGTCAATCGTATTGACAACTAGTATCTGTTAATTGTAAAAGACTGGTTATTTCCAAGATGAGGTATCGTTTAAATTTGCTTACTGGACGATATATGTTTATCTCTTCTAATTTCTAAAGTAACAATAGTTTATCTTTCTTACAGGCAAGTTTCTTTTAGCATAAAAGTGTATAAAATAGTAAAACAGCTTTCTAAAAGTTCTCAGTTACTTATCTTTAAAGCCGTGTGAACATATTTGGAAAATCAATTATATTTAAGTGGCTTATTATCTCTTATCTAAATTGTTGACAGGTATCTTGATCTCAACGGCTTAGACAAATTCCCTAGCTCCAAAAAACCATAATTGCTTGGACTAAGGTAAAAAAAGCAGAATGTTGTAAACAAGGAAGTTTACTTCAAAGGTTAGATATTATACAGAAACCAGAAGGTTAATAAGGTCAGCAGATATAATGAGATTTAAGGAGCTTCGAGAATACCTACTAAAATTGATTAAGAAGTTGATAATTGTTTAATAAAGGTGATGAAAGCATATTCAGTCGTCTACCAGATTTTTCATGTAAGTTTCCTACAGGTATTGACTGATTAGAGTAATTTCGACAGTTTTCCTAGCTTTCGTATATTTCAAGGAATTAGGAAGGAATCTCAGTAGCTGTTAGACGTATGTTTCAGCTATTAAGAAGTTCATTTCTAGTGAAAAATCTAAGATAATTCGATAAATCTTCAATGGTATGTGCTTATAAAGGAAAACGAAACAAAAAGATAACTTTCATACGATTAAAATCAACCACTTACGTTTTAGAAGTACTTTCTACATCAAATTCCAAGAATGCAATATCAATTCTTCTTACATTTAGCCCAGAAAACCGATATTCACAAATGATATCAATTGGATATAATCCAGGATAATTTGGTGATGAGAAATTCCCTGTTATTGATTGAGAACGATTGAATTCGAAGAAGCAACCTGTAAAGAGTACGAAACACTAGATTCTAAATGTGTTTCAACGACGACTACTCCATTTATAATGGGTAATACACTGGTGATCTAGAGGTAGTAGAGTCTATTACAGAATAAGAAAGGAGTATTCTTATTCTGGAACTCATCGAATGTCTTGCATAGAGCAGGATCCTCACGCGAATTTAAGTGGAAGATGTGAGTTTTAGTGGAAGACATTATTTCACCAATGTAACACTAATCGAGCCAACCGAGTTTATGTACAAGCAAATATTGAAAAACAAATAAAAACACGGCTTCGTTCAAGATAGTCTTAAATTTAATCCTATTGTGTTTTCAACTCCGCCTGAACCCATCTGTGGCTACTGCTCGTCCCAAGCCTGGATAAAGGAGGAGGCTTGGGCATGGGGTTACCGACCCCATCCCATAGGAAACGAATTCGCTAGAAAAACGCTAACCAGGAAAAAATATTCAAACCTTTTAAACTCCGCCCTGGGAATCAGAAGGTCTTCATTTAGAAAAACTATGACGCCTCATGATAAAAGTCGAGTTCCTTCGGAAGTTACAAAGCCGATGCGCCTTCTGACAACCAGAGCAACCATTTATTTAGGTATATGGAATGTTCGTACAATGTGGGACACCGGGAGAGTCAGCCAAGTTGTTGCAGAAATGAAAAGACACAACATGAAGGTGATTGGAATCAGTGAAACACATTGGACGCAGGTTTGAAAACAACGACTAGCTTCAGGGGAGCCCCTGTTATACTCCGGTCATGAAGAAGAAAATGCTCCACATATATAAGGCGTTGCACTGATGCTATCCAAACAAGCACAAAATGCACTTATAGGATGGAAATCTCATGGACCAAGGATCATCAAAGCCTCCTTCAAAACAAAGAAAGAGGGTATCTTAATGAACGTTATCCAGTGCTATGCGCCTTCCAACGATTACAATGAAGACGTTAAAGACCAATTCTGCGATAGGCCGCGGTTAATCGTTGAGAAATTCTCAACAAAGATTCGACCATTTTGATGAGAAATTTCAATGCCAACTGTCAAACAACACCAAGGGCAGGAATTTCAATACAAATGTCAAGATTGTTCTACTGTATGGGGCGGAAACTTGGAGAACTACGAGAACCGTCATCCAGAATAATAGCTGTATGCGTAAAATACTTTGGATCCGTTGACCAGACACTACTAGCAACAACCTACTGTGGGAGAGAACAAACCAGACTCCAGCGGGGAAGAAATCAAAAAGAAGCGCTAGAAGTAGATAGGACACTCATTAAGGAAAGCACCCTGCTGCGTTACAAAGCAAGCCTTTCTCTCAGATACCAAAAAATTCAAAGAATTCAAGATAGTTTCCAACAACGGGTTCGAAGCCTTACAGGATCTACTGAAGGTTGAATAAACTAATATGATGGACAACTGGAAAGATACCAAAGAAGCATTAGCTTCAACGTGACAGCAGGTTCTGGCCCCAAGAAGCTTCATCATAAAGAATGGATCTCTAAAGAAACACTGGACAGGATCAAGGAAAGTATGAACAGGAAGACAGCATTAACAACAGACGAACACGAGCTGAGAAAGTCAAGGCACAAGCTGAGTACACAAAAGCAAACAAGCAAGTGAAGAAGAGCATTAAAGCCGACAAGCAGAAATACGTGGAACAACACGGTGGAAAAGCCGCAAGATAAGGAAATATGAAACAAATATATGATACAACGAAGAAACTAGCAGGGAGTATAGTAAACCGGAGAGACCGGTCAAGGACAAAGAAGGAAGGCCAATCACTGAAATTCAAAGACAGAGGAACAGATGGGTAGAGCACTTTGAAGAACTCCTGAATAGGTCGGCTCCAATGAATCCACCGGCTATCGAAGCAGCACATACCGACCTTCCTATAGCTGTCACTCAACGACCGAAGAAATCGGGATGGCTATAAACAAATCAAGAGCGGGAAAGAAACAGGACCTGACAATATACCAGCTAAAGCACTGAAGTCAAACATCGAAGTAACTGCAAACATGCTTCACCTTCTATTCAACAAGGTCTGAAAGAAGAAACAAGGGCCGACGGACTGGAAAGAAGGATACATCATCAAGATTTCAAAGAAAAAAGATCTGAGCAAATGCGAAAACTACATAGGCATCACATTGCTGTCAGTACCAAGGAAAGTCTTTAACAGAGTGTTGCTGAACCGGATGAAAGATGCAGTAGACGCCCAACTTCGAGATGAACAAACTGGATTCCGTAAAGATCATCGTCGGACAATCCATTGAGTGTAATTCGTCACTATACATCAATTTAATTGACTATGAGAAGGCGTTTGGTAGTGTAGATAGGATAACATTATGGAAACTTCTCCGACACCACGGAGTTCCTGAAAAGATTGTCAACATTATGCGGAACTCATACGACGGACTATCATGCGAAGTCGTGCATAGAGGACAGCTGACAGATACATTCCAAGTGAGGATCGGAGTCATATAAGGCTGTTTACTCTCTCCCTCTCTTTTCTAGTGTTTCAACTGGATTATGAAGACCTAGATATGTAAGAGGAAAATGGAATACAATGGACAGTTCAGAATCAGTTAGAAGATTCGGACTTCGCAGATGACCAAGCCCTTCTATCCCATATACACGGACAAATGCAGATGAAGAAAGCTCGTGTATAAGCAGCCTCTGCATCAGTAGGCCATGACATACACAAGCGGAAAACCAAGGTCCTCAAATAAAACATAGAGAACACCAACCTAATCACACTTGATCGCGAAACTCTGGAAGATAAGGAATCCTTCACGTACCTGCGAAGCATCATCGATGAACAAGGAGGATCCAATTTAGATGTGAAGGTACGGATTGGGAGAGCAATGACAGCATTCATACAGTTGAAGAACATATGGAACTCAAAACAACTGTCAACCAATATCAAAGTCACAATCATCAATACGAACATCAGGACTGTTCTAATGTACGGAGCTGAAACTTCGAGAACTACCACAACCATCATCGAGAAGGTAAAAATATTTATAAACAGTTGTTTACGCAAGATACTCAACATCCATTGGCCGGAAAAATCAGCAAAAGTCTTCTGTGGAAGAGAACGAACCAGTTTTCGGCTGAGGAGGAAATTTGGAAAAGACGATGGAAATGGATAGGACATACAATACGGAAATCACCAAACTGCATCACGAGGCAAGTCCTAACTTGGAATCCTGAAGGGAAGCGGAAAAGAGGAAGGCCAAAGAACACATTACGTCGGGAAATAGAAGCAGACATCAAAAGGATGAATAACAACTGGAAAGGATCGTCCCGGACAGGGCTGAATGGAGAGTACTGTTGGGCGGCCTATGCTCTTCCAAGAGGAGTAACAGGAGTAAGTAAATAAGTTGTTTCTTCCTTGACTGGATAAAGCTAGATAAACGATTTTATTAATGCATATCGCTATTATTCTTTGTACCCTTTGTCCGTTTGTTTTTCTACACCGTCTTTTGTATGTTCTTCATTATCAGATTACCTCATCATTCCTTATAATGTAATTTGGATGACTTTTAATGCTTTCTATTTTGAAAACCATTTTCCGAAGTTTTAATCTTCTTACTACTTTGAAATACTGATCTAAGCTTTTGCTATTCTTATTACAAGTACACCTGATATCATATTGTGAATTTGTACATATTGGTTATTATGTTTAGTTTTTATTTATTTTTCTTTGTGATGGTTGCCTCAAACTTCCTTTATTGATTCCGTATTTTTTTGAATATGCATTGTAGCAGCTTCTGTGTTATCACATACACATTCGACAACTCCTAACCTTTGCACAGACGTTAATAACACAGAAAGTAAACGATTGTTGTGTCATTTTTACTATCCTAATTTTGACCTCCAATAAATTACATTCATGTCCTTGCAGTCATACAATATTTATACAAGGCTTGTTAACTTGTCACAGCATAAATTATCTTTTCTGAGTTCAATCAACACTTGTAATTAGTATTATCTCGAAGATACACATCTACAACTAAATCAGATTTGAATTTTAGAGTTGGATTATCGGTTTCACCATTTTATCTTTATAAGTCGTAGGTGTCAGCAAATCAATATACATTTAAGTATCAACTCATTTCTATGTGCTTTATCCAAGTTAATTCACCTATGTTAAATTTGTTTAACTTTCTATTTATTTAGGTCATTCATGCTCGGTTTGACTGAAGCTTAAATTTTCTCATGGTTCGATGAACGATTCTAAAAAGCATATAAACACGAAAATATATGTCCTTTGTGACAAAAAGTAAGCTGTTATATTTTAACTTGTAATTTGTTTACGTATCGCTAATATTTTCCTGCTAAATTTGTAAAGATAGTACGTCTTTTAAAAATACTTCTCAAGTAAGATGTCATGAGAATAATTTTAGTGGCCGTTTACTGACCCCATGATAACAAAGATTATTGAAATGAATGATCTTAACGAAATATAGTTCATATTAAACTCCTCATATACACTGTCTACTGATCATATTAATACAAAGTAGAAAATTAAGGTTGAATATGAAATATGTAGAATGCCTGACAAATATGAGAGCTGTGGAAATGGAAAATGACATTTGGCCAAAGCCAGTGAATAAAGAGTAAATCAGACTTTATATAAGGTGAACGATATGGAAACTACAGAAAAGCAGTTAAATTATAGCAAACATTCATTCACTAACCAAGTTCACATAAAAAGTGTCCAAGGTTAACAAATGAGTGGTTAACGATGATAAATAACAAGGATAAACGTGGAAAAACATACAACTGTTGACCAGATAAAAATTATATGTCCGTCTACAGGTTAGTATTAATTCATTCAGATGTAGTGATCACTACACTTGAGTCAACTAAAATCAGATTTGAATGCTGCTGAAATAAGAGAAAGATATCAAATATTCCTCAGATAACATTGACTTATCTTTGAGTAGTAACGAGCGCCATGTTTATCTGGTCCCTATTTTTGACAGTCGACCAAATAGTAACGGTCTACTAGCATGAGTAACTCATTATTGAGAAGTTAGATAATTAGAGGGAATTGATTCGGAACTTCTCATTTCATCTGGCATAAATATTTGAATTATTATGCTCATAAGTATTTATTCCTTGTACATAATAGTTATCTTTTGTGGCAAATATTCGACTTACTTGGCTTCCGTTGATTCCCAAAAGAAGCTGTAACACCATAATCTATAGAAAGAAATATAATTAAAAGTAAGGTCTGGGTAGGCTGTTTGATATAGAGATGATTGACATGGAAGACTGATTTGACATTGACAAATGAATATGAGGTGGTTATGATCGTCAGTTAACTCCACCTGTAGCTCTCCTAGAGTTACTGCCGGTCACAAGAGAGGGTAAGGGAGGAGGGTTGCGTACGGGTCAATAACATTATCCCGTAGAAAACAACCTTGCTAAAAAATGCCAACCAGAATAAACAGTTTAAAACACTTTGTTTCGGGAGTTGAAGAATCTTCATCCAGAAGGATTAGGACCCGTCTTGGTGAAAGTCGGTATTCTTCGGAAGTCATGAGGCCAATGTCCATTCTAACAACCAGAACAACAATTTAAATAGGTACACGGAACTTTCATACGATGGGAGTGACAGGGAACACCAATGAAATAGCTGCGGAAATGAGGAGATACAACTTGACGTTGCTCGGAATAAGTGCCCCTAAATGCCCTGGTAGGGCTGTGGGTGGGGAGAGTCCGGTCTTCCTCTCCAAGTGCTCTCACATGGCCACCCATGTACAACCACTGATAGGAAAGTCCTACTCACTGCCTTCTCGCGGAGGGGGTGTTGCTCACGAAATCGGGAGGACGGAAAGCGAATGTCTGGCGCTTTTACCGGGTAGGTGAACACGAGGGGTTTCATGTGTATTCGATGCCACTTTGCACCAATATTTATATGTTCAAATAAATCAATATAATATATAATAAATCGGAATAAGTGAGATCCATTGGACCCAAGCTGGACAGAAACAAATAGATTCGGGAATAGATGCTGCTGTACTCTAGTCACAAGGAAGAAAATGCTCCGCACACACAGGGAGTTGTTCTGGTGACATCCAAAGAAGCACGTAAAACACTCATAGGATGAGAATCTCATGGAACCAGAATCATCAAAGCATCCTTCAAAACAAAGAAGAAGGGAATCACAATGAATGTTATCCAATGTTATGCACCAAACAATGATAGCAATGACGACAATAAAGATAAATTTTATGAGACTGCATTCGATCATACAGAAGTGCCCAGGAAGGGGCTTAATCATTCTGGTGGGAGGCTTAATGCCAAATTCGAAATGGATAACATTGGGTATGAAGATGTCATGGGACGACATGGACTGAGAGGGAAGAACGTCAGTGGTGAAAAATTTGAATATTTATGTGCATTCAACAAAATGGTTATAGGTGACACATTACTCACCCACAAACGCATGTATAAAGCTCCATGGGTTTCACTGGACAACACTACAGAGAACCAGGTTGATCATATTTACATCAATAATAAGTTCACAAGATCCATCAAGGAAGCGCGAATAAAGAAAGTAGCCGACATAGCTCCAGATCACCATCTGGTAGTTGCCAAGATGAAACTGAAGCTAAAGAATCATTGGACAACTGGAGAGACAGCATTACAAAAGTTCAATACAGCCTTCCTTCGAAATACTGACAAATTCAACGAATTCAAGATAGCTTTCAGCTTCAGGTTCTAAACCTTATAAAATCTACTCGAAAAAGAGAAAACCACTATTGACGACAATTGGAAAAGGGTCGAAGTAGCACTAACTTCAACGTGTCGAGAGGTTCTGGGCCTCAAGAAGCATTATCATATGGTACGGATCTCTATGAAAACCCTGCGCAATATTTAAGAAAGGAAGTACGAGAAGACAGCAACTAACAACAGGCGAACAAGAGCAGAGAAAGTCAAGGCGCAAGCTGAATAAACTGAAGTAAGCAGGCAATCGAAGAGGAGAATTAGAGCCGACAAGCAGAAATACGTGGAACAACTAGCAACGGTAGCGGTGAAAGCTGCAAAAGAAGGAAATGTGAGACAACTGTATGACACAACGAAGAAACTGGCAGGGAAATATACTAAACCACGTAGACCGCTCAAGGACAAAGAAGTCATGTCAATCAGTAAGATTCAAGAGATGAGGAAAGGATGGGCAGAACACTTTGAGGAAATCTTGACTAGATCAGTTCCATTAAATCCGCCGAGCATCGGAGCAGCACTCACAGGATGGTCATTAGACAAATCAAGAGTGGGAGAACAGCAGGACCTGACAATGTACCAGCTGAGGCACTAAAGTCAGACACATAAGTAACTGCAAACATGCTCCACGTTCTCTTTAAGGCGATTTGGAAGGAAGAACAAATGCCAATTTACTGAAAAGAAGAATACCTCATCAACATACCAAGGAGATCTGAGCAAATATGAGAATTACAGAGGCACCATACTACTATCGGTACCAGGAAAGGTTTTCAAAAGTGTTGTTGAACCGGATGAAAGATTCAATAGACACACAACCTCTAGATCAACAGGCCGGGTTCCGTAGGGATCGGTCCTGCACAGACCAACAATAGACCGACACTACGAATCACCGTTAGAATCGTCACTAAACATCAACTCCCTTGACTATGAGAAGGAGTTTGACAATGTGGATAGGAGAACATCATCAAAACGTCTTCAACACTATGGAGTACCTGGGAGAATCGTCAAAATCATACGGAATCCATACGACGAAGTATACTACAAAGTCGTGCATGGATGATAGCTGACAGACGCATTCCAAGTAAGGATCGAAGTCAGACTCTTCTCCTTCCTATTTTTTCTGGTGTTTCATGAAAATTTCCACATCTGAGTGGAAGCACGGAATAAAATCAACAGAAATTTATCGTTTTTCTTGAAAGTTTTACTAAAAGCAAAAGTTATTTTCACTGGTACCCGTGTGTGGAAACTGGTGTAAAGCGGATACTGCTTCAAAAAGAATAATACTATTCTAGTTCTGTTCAACCACACTAAAATTATTTCTTCATGAACGGTTATAACGTATAAGGATAGTCTTTAAAATCATCTAAGCTTTGCATGAATGATTAGACACAATAATTTTTGAACTCTGATATAATGAACAATGATCACTACTTAGTCAATTAGTAGTTTCGAATCTTTCGGAAATGAACCGATGTCTAATTTTGTCGATCGGAAATACCATAAGAAAAATCACCTTACCAGTTACATTCTTTCCACTAACAATATTTGGTGATAAAAAAATTAAAATAATTATTGAGACAATTATTAACATATTAGTTTCCCTTAAAAAATGATAACCGATTTTCTCACCTGTGACAAATTTATACTGCACATCATAGCCTAAATCTGAATGCTGAATACTCCGAAAGTTTTGTTTCATGTTTCTACTATTATTGTCACTATTATTATCATTATTAATATTGGTACCATTTCTAGATTGATTGATCTTAAGAATTATATCTAAACGTGGAATATTTCCAGACATGAAACCCTTACTTGCTGGTGAATAAGTCATAAAATCCCCAGCGCATAAACGAACAGGATCTAAAGGTACAGTCTCTATGGGATCTGTGGTGATTAAAGGTGATGTCAATTGTGTAGTAGAAATTGCATTTAAATTTAACAATGAATAACTTTGTTGTGAAACGAAATTAGGATTTAACCGGTTATTTAACAGTCTATTGATATCATTGTTAGTAGTTGAAACATCAGCACGATAATTGATCAATTCCAAAGTCATTGAAGTGGGACATCTGAACAAATAAGATATAAGAAAACAAAATTGTCACGAAAATTATTAATAAGGTTACTTGAAGTTAACAGATATTTACAATCAATAAAAAGCGCTGTGAACTGGAAATTAGTTGTATTCCTAAATCATCTTAGATATTAGAAACTAGTTAAGTATTTATATGTGATCAACATGGGGTTGTGGAAATTGTTTAATTTCAGTGATATAGCTAACCAATTCAATAATTTATGTCCGGCTAGTTGTTGTCAACAGTGGCCTAAACATCAATTATTTCTGTCTTTTAAATAATTAGGTCGTACCATTCGCATAAAGCTGTAGTATCAATATTCATCGACTATTTTTAAAGTATCTTAAATTTCTTGTGGCTGCTCTATCTACTGAGGAGCTTTCTTATTGGTTATATATTTGCAGATATTTTATATAAGGGGTTTTTCATGACGGACTGACCTTGGTTATGCAATCGTTGAAAGGTAGAAAGGTCTGGACAACTAGGTCTCTGTTGCGATATTCAGAAAAATATCCTAGAAATTATCCTGTTTAGGTTAATGCTATCCTTGGACTTGAAATGGCATCATTTTCCTATTGGTCAATTTTTATTTCACGTGTCATTTCCCTGTTGGCCAAATATTGTACAAATGTTATTTTCTGCTTTATGGTGCGATGTGGTCTGCTTGATTGGTACATAAACAGAGTATGTTTGAATACATGATTCATATCGCAGAAGCTGAGACTTGTGTTCTGGACTTAACTGGCTGGGCTAGGCAGGAAGCAGGGCCAATCAGACTCTAGGCTGCTCATGCGTATTTTACGCGTCGTTGGTCCGATCGATAAGTCACTGTCCTCTAATCTGCAGTCACAAGATATAACAGTCTCCCTAATATAGGTCTCCATATCCGTGCATGTCCGCGACCGCAACAATGGTCGAGTCTTATACACACAGACGTCACAAAGAGAAGTTAGCCTTCACCTAATTGCCATCCAGCCACTTACGCTTATGACCTGTGTCAATCTACCATATTGCGATGTTTGTGTCAGCCGTGCTTATTGACGAGGAGTACAGTATCAGTATAAAACATTTTTTCCAGTGCTTACTGGTTTCCTGCACTGTTTAACCAGTTAGTTTGAAGATAATGTTTTCTATTTTTGGTTTTGTGAACTCATATTCGTTTTTAGTGTATGCTACAGTGTTACTTTTAATTAACCATACTTTGAAAAAATGATTATCAGTCGAAGCAAAAATACATGTGTTGCTCCACATAGATCTTGTCAGCTGAACGAACTGATGTCATAATATGTGACATCACAATGATATTAGAATCTGGTAAACATAGTTTCATACGTCAGAAAATAATCCACGGCTGAGGTTAGTATTTTAATCATAATCAATGGTTGAAGATTTTTGGTGAAATGGCTTAAAATCGGACAAGGTAGTGAGGATTCAGTTATTTTCTATCCTTCTTTTAGACTGAATATTGTTCTATACCCTTATTCCGTCAACATAATGCTTTTTTTCTAAATATATTCAGTCATTCAAGTCACTAATATCTTCAACTTCTGTGTTACTGACCTAGTGAATTTTCTCTCTCTAAAGTTAATGATTTCCCCTGTTGTAATCGGTTAAGGATTTGACATGTAAATATATATATATATATATATATATATATATATATATATATATATATATATATATATATATATATATATATATATATATATATATATATATATATATATGATTTATGTAACTGAAAACCCTGGTATTCATACTTGTTACGACTTTCTGATCAAACGATCCGTCTCATCATAGTCTATTCAAAAGTAATTTATAGACCGAACTAAATAAAACAAACCTTTAATTCATTTTTCATTAAGATTCGTCTTGTAAACGGTAAATTTTCATTGTTTTTATGTTTTAACTGATACTAGGATAAAAATGAAAACTCGTGCACATTATTACTATTGGTGAAAATACTCTAGACACTACACTTCAGTACCTACGTCTTCTTTTCTCGGTGATATTGGATTGTTTAGAACACAATTCTACTTGACTGATCACATAGATTGGTAATTTAAAGGAGTGAATGTTAACGGAGAATAAGCAAGAAAGTGATAAAAGTGATGAAAATAAGTCGAGAGAAAAAAGGTGACCAGACTATGTTTGATCAGTTATTTAGGTTTGTAGTGACTCACGTTTATCACGAGAACACGACTGGTTTATTAAAAACAATTATTATTATAACCAACTGTACCAGTGTTTGTTTTAACGTGCTTTTGTTTGACTGTGCTAATGACAGCTATTTTGTGCTTCCATTCTTATACACACACTTTGATTGTAACTTCGCGCGAATTCGGTTACCTTCTGTAAACAAGGTTGTATCCTGGCACGATCTCGGTATCCTTTCGATGCCACGAGATCGCCAGCTAATAAACCTCGACTTGGTCCATTAACTGTCTTCTGGTATTCGGCTTCTCGGGGATTTTATGGAGTCATTTGGAACGAGCTTCTTACGCCTTCTGATTCGCTTGGCACGTGTTTCTTGGTAGCGGTGTTCATAGTTAACCTCAACTCGACGCTACGCTACAGGTTTAACCAAGCAGACGTTTTTTTACGATAGGTATCTCTACCTGTTTCTCCCTCAATCCAAATAAAGAGTTGCTTAGTTGTTGCCTTTATTTCTTATTTTTTAGGTTGTTTCTAGTTTTGTGGAAAACTAGACGTATACAGGTATTTTATAGACAGTTAGCTTTAAATAAGTGACCAAAAGCATAACAACTCAGAGTTTTCTATAGTTTAAACACAGTTAGGATCCTATTAATAAGAGTTTGTGATGAATTAATCGTTGGCTGAACTCAATAGCTTGGTGGATATCGACGCTGAGATACAAGTCCCAGAAAGAAGACAGAACGCGCTTCCTAAATTCCACTGCTAGCCACAAATACATAGTTGAAATTTTTTCAAAGATAGTTTTACTTTTAACATTTAGGATTGATTATATCTTTAATGATTAAAATATTTGGAAAATTCACCCAAATTTGAACAATTTTTAAAGATGGGATCAACAGTATTGTGATGCTTGTGAAGACTCAGGTTATTTATTACATTCCCGTTCGATGAATAGAAACTGATTACCAGAATTTGTGGTTGTTGTCAAGCATATATTATCGAGGAAATCACTTATAGATTAATGTTGACGTTCTTTGTTGTTTCCTGTCTAGCAGTAATATGTGCACTGAAATTATAATCGTCTTTGAGGATAACTGTAAAATAATCCCTTAACTCCTGCAATTCGTAGAAACAAATTCTACTATTTACATGAAGTGGATTCTATTTCGAATAACAGTGTATTGTAAAATGTTACAATTTATGAAAAGTTTATGAGATCGTATATAATCTGAGATACTCGCTAATCTAGAGATCAAACAGAATTTTTAAATCATCACAGCAGAAAGTTAGGATCTCAAGATGAAGTTTCCAGTTATTGATCATAATGCATCACAACTTTTCTGGCTCCTGTAAAATACAATTTACTAATCACATTAATTACTCGTCATTAAATTAGGACCTGGGAAAAATATGCATTGGTTCAAACTGCTACATCGTTTAGGTATAACGAGATAAAATTAACAAAACGAATAGCAAGAAACTTGAAATATTAGTAGTACTAACGAGTAAATATAGAGAAAATGATTTGAAATAGAGAATGAAGTTGTAGAATACGAAATTGTGAAATAATACTAAAACTGAGAATACTTTGCAACTGATTATAAACTATATCATTTAACTTTTATAAACACTATTCACGATTATCTCATGGATTCCAGATGATTAGTTTACGCCCATAACAACACTCAATTCATTAGTTGGCAACCCAGTGGGGTAATGCCACTTTACTGATTTGTCCAATTCTAATTACACCACATAAAATAATAAGTATCATTTTGTACTGAACTTACTTTAAACTGTTTAAAAAAGATGATTTAATTTCGTGTATATCATTCATATCAGGTTGATGTTTTTGTCTATAGATGGAACCCCCGAATTCTCGATCGTATTGAATAAAATCACTCGTATAATTTGACACAATATCATTAACTTCACTTGATGTAATTTGTGAACGTTGAAATTGATGGATTTGCTGTGAATTATCTAGACGTCGTACAAAACGTATTTGTATACGTTGTCCATAACCACCTTCAAGTTTCCATTTACAGTTGTTTAACTCAGACGGTTTTCTCGTTCTAATTAAATTATTTGGTATGTGAAGAAAACCATTTGATTCTTTTCCGTAACTTGTAATTGTAAACTGACATGTATCTATGATTAACAGAGCATTGATTAGAAAATTTCAATGCATGTAAATTTATAATACAGTTGAACAACCCTATGCATAACCTACGTATTTTGAACCCATCATCAGCCAATCAGAACACAGGTAGCTAAAACCAAATATTTGTAGTTAAAATTGTAACAAAACTTAATTACGAAGTTGGCGATTTTCGCGTTTATACTCCGTATACTGTACATAAAAGAACTTGCTACAACAAATATTCCTGTACTTAGGAGATTAGCCCATATTTATTTATTTTGTTCAGGATAACGATACTTATATAAACTTTCCAGTACAGTTTCCAGAAAGATTTCTTGTTGAATTACATTTCATACAGAAATTGTATCGTAATGATTAAAGGTTACTTCTTATCCTTCTATCACACCATGTAATTTTTAGGGTATGACTAAACAAGACATCCTTTCATATCAACCTTAAATAATCAAAACACTGGAAAATATCTTCCATGAATTTATTCATTAGCATAATGTCAGCTGGTATCAATTCCATGGTTTCTCATAAAAAGCTATAAGCCCCTTATCAGATTTGGGTTAGACTATCGATAGATTCTAGCTTTATTCTGTGTAACATTGAATGGAAAAATACATGAGGATAAGGTATACTTATTCTTAAATAGTATAACTGTCTGTAAAAATTAATATAAATTCACTAGGATTTGTTAAATTATTTATAGAAGAATAAAATAGGAATATGATATTTAAATACACAATAAAAACACTGTACAAAACAGGATATCAGGAAATATACCAGAAGTAGATTAATTGTAATGAAAGAAATCTACGTAAATGAAGATATTCATGAAAACCAATTCAGGAACAAACAGTACTTTTTTAATGCGAATGAAAAATTGTCAGAAACGTAAACGAAATATTCCAGTACGGTTGGTTAATTGAACTTATCTTGTTTAGTCAAAACAGACTGTCTGTTTACCGAGTATTGTGCTAATTTACGCGATAAAAGCAGTTATTACTATTGGCGATAAATGAACTTTTGATTTGTAGGCTTTATTTCTTTGCTTTCGCCGTCCACTTAGATATAAATATGTATATGGTGCCAATTCGGTCAGTATATATGTGTCTATGCTCCTTTAATAGATAAAGTATGCACCTTATGCGTAAATTGTGGCTGAAATGTGTAAAAATAGTTTTAATTTTAAATATTTTCACTGTACTAAATATCAACCTTGAGATAGATTTCCTGATGTTTTAGTGGAAGGCCTTGATTTACGGAATTGTTCACATCAGAAATGAAATAGTTACTTGAAGATGACACTGATTGTAAAATGCATCATGATGAGAATCGACTATAAAAAATATACATCTCAACTCAGTTAGTGAATGATATAGTGCTTTCTGAAAAACCAGAAGTTTTTCATTTCAGCTACAAGCTCACACCACTGAAAAAGTTCAACTTAAAATAGAACGACTGTCCTACATTGTCCACAGTGTATTTTCTAAACAACGTCGACCTGAGACGTAAACTAATTTTGATAACTACAAAACGACTCATATCAACCAAAACCATCAGAAAAAAACTTTTTGTACACAACAATATCAGAATTAGAAGTTATTTCTCGAACTTACCGCACAGTCCTTTAATTTAACACTTTTAGAAATTACAAATTTTTTTTATCAAATAAACCCATTCAAAGACTATTCTACACTGATTTATATGACAGTTAATAGATATGCCTTAGTGTCTCATTGATTACAGAATAGCAGATGTCAAGTAATTTTGAAATATTTCAAACTTGTCAAATTTATGATAGGCCATAAATTAATATTATAATTAAGTTCCAATTCCATTGATTATCAAACATTTTGTAAATAAATGTGCAGTTTTCGTACCGTTGGGAACTCGTCTTTACCAAAATTTGTCAAACCTTTTGTTGTTCATTCATAAGAAAGAGTGATTGCGTCAATAAATTTTAGTTCAGTGAACAGTCTGTTTGTTTATTGTAACAGGTTTACCAAAGGAACTTTTTTCAAAAATGTTATAAAATCTTCGATAGCATAAAGTTCATTTCATCAGTATCATCTCATGTAGGATGCGTAAGAGAGCAATCAGTTTGGTAAATATGATCATAAATGAATACTTTTCTAAATATTCTTAGATATTTCTTTGTGTTATTTCTCAGAGAGTTGACCGACATGTATCAGAGGAAACATTTAAAGATTTATCTTAATTTTATGATGTTAGAATGAGTGATTTTATTGAATCGAAAAATTTCTTGTCAAGAACAAGAAATATCCAAGACCAACTGGGTACAATAGACAAGTGAAGTACTGCTCCAAGTTCTAGTCAAATTATTGATTTTTATTTGGTTTTACACAGAAAAAGTGGAGATTTTACCGTTCGATGAAGTCCAATAGAGAAGGCAATACTGTTAACAACAACATTATATATTATTATTATTATTTTATTCTTATATTTATTTGTATACTTATACACATAAGTAGTTAGATATTTATTGTCATCAATGCCCAATTGAATTAACATTTTAATATCTCCGTGAAAAATTGAGTATTACTGAACATCTAAATTATGTTTAATCTGGGTATAGAGCATTTGCTCGTTCCAGCTACATAATACATCATTAACTAGGTGTATGTGTATGTATGTTACGAAGAAGATATTATAATTCATGAGTTTTTAGAAGCTGAAGAAAGACAAAATAACTAAATTATTGAATTAATCATAATCTAATTACCGAACAAAACTGTAAAATATAGCTATAAGAATACTCAAATTCTTACTAGTGATAATCATGACTAAATCCAGTGACTAAACCAAGTAATAATAATAGCCATGTTCATTACCATATATTCGGATAATAGATTCTCAATTTTTAAAAAATGACTACAAGATCTGCCTGGTAAGACATCTGTTGTGGCTAATTTCCTCTATATTTGACTCCAATAAATGATACCCCGTTAACTAAGTATTTCAGGTAGGCTAAATCTCCTAGTAGAATTACGGATTTACTCGAGATTTTTCAGAAGCCTGAACACCAGTTGTAGAGATATTTTATTGTTAAAGATAAATAAAATTCACAAGCGTACAGCGAGCAAGCACACTGTGAAACCAAGAGAATGTGTGTCTGTGTCAAAAATCCATATATATTTTTGAGTGTCAATCAAGTGTGGATAAATTATTGATTATCTGTATGTTACAACCAATAGAAGAATAGATTAAGAATTGATGTGCAGACACGCGCTCAATCATATACACACAGAAATTAACATAGTGAATTAAGTATCTGAATTACAGTGAGTAGACAAATAATATAATAGTTGAATGGGCTTGCCACACATCTGACTTTCATTTACTTTATATCGTAAACATTTTCAACCATTTCCACACCTCAGAATATATTTAATGTATACAACCAGATATTTTGATGTTCTCTCTTCAACGAACAGACAAAAAATAAAATATTCTAAATATTATAGGGCGCTCGCCTGGATCTTATAGTATTCAGTTTCACTTGAGGTTTTAGGTGTCTTACAAAATTATGTGAGCTTAAACATGAGATTAACAGGAACTGTTATCTCGTAGAAGTAAATGAAGATATAAGCAATTTCATTGCATTACACGGATAGTTTTAAAATACATAGAATAACAGTTTCAGGAAAACATAAAGAGCTGTCTAAATAATGAAGTTGCAACCAACGACATTTTATTTGTTTGAATCACATACACGTGTAAGCATATCAATATTTATATTCCATCCGTAACTAATATCTAAAGTTGACTAACTTATTCAGTGCTATGAGCCTGCAGTGGCTGTGCTTCGTTAACCAATCACCCTCGTAACCGTTACCATATAATCCTCAATGGTGTTCGAAATCAGAAGGCAAAGAGAAGCAGCGAATACAGTTTCATTAGCAGATAACTCAGACCACAAAGCAGTGAGGCAAAATAAGTGAGTCAGCGAACCGAGAGTGTAGAGTGTGTATAGGTTTAAATGTACATGTATATATATAAGGAAATGAATGGATTATCTAATCAATTAAGCAGCTAATAATAAAGCTAGCAGAATGAATGTATGCGTAGGCGGTAGACAATGTTCAAGCATAAATATTTTATACAAGCACAATAATAATAAAGGTACAATAAGTTTTTATAGTACGGATGAATTTGTCCGCCAAATAAGTTAACAGAAGGGCTTAACCGAGTTAAATGAGAACAAACTCAATTGCACGTCATTTGCTATAAGCGCACCAGTGATAGCAATGACGACAATAAAGATAAGTTTTATGAGACTGCATTCGATCATACAGAAGTGCCCAGGAAGGGGCCTAATCATTCTGGTGGGAGGCTTAATGCCAAATTCGAAATGGATAACATTGGGTATGAAGATGTCATGGGACGACATGGACTGAGAGGGAAGAACGTGAATGGTGAAAATTTTGAATATTTATGTGCATTTATGTGCGACCAACAACTCCTAGGATAATGCTTATGTGTGTGTCAGGAAGTGCTGAGGGTGGTAGTCATGTGCTGAATGATATGCATGTAATCTGTAAGAAACAGTCTGTTGTAGGCTTACATTTGCCTCCTCAGAAAAGTCTTTTCCAAATATTCTGACTGGACCACCACCATGAGGTCCAAGTGAACTGTTGTAAGATGTAATAGTTATGAGATAAAAGCTTTAGGAAAAGTGAACTGTATTTTGAAGAAAACGTTAGTTCAGACTTTGTGAAATGAATTTTTTATAGTCTCAGTTTGTGTTTTCGTTTGAAAAAATGGGTTAAAATAGAATGATATATTTATCAATAAATTATTGGTACTAGTGCAGCAGTGGGTTAATGATGTAAACAGTATACCTCTAGTCAATAGTTTTTATCAGTTGTGAAACCCTATCCAGTCGCTCCTATGTCATCTGACTGATATATCACCAGCCCTAACACAAACTGTATGGTTTAAATTACAGTAAATTAAACCAAAGTCGTATGTATGAACA